ACACATTTCCGAATATTGAGAAAGTGACTGAATTCGTGAATGATTATTTAGAAAATAATTCCCTTAAAGAGCCAGATTGGAGTAGGGACTATTTGGTAAACAATTCGCAATTATTGCGTAAAGTAAGGTACGATTCAAATTTCGAAACTCATAATTTAACCGTCTACGAGGGTAAATTGCGAATTAATGCAATTTATTCAAGTGCGGAAAGACGTGAAATCGAGAAAGAGGTATCGATGGGAATAATTGTTAAAAATTTTAACGAACAATACACAAGATATTCTCTCACATTTCATGATTATTATGCGATAAGAAATTACGTAACGACAGGTTACAGGCGAATTGGTGCAAATACAAAAGAGTCGAAATTAATGAAAATCGCTCTCTATACACTGGCGATAAGACAATATGACGAACAACCTGGGGAATTTAATTCAAAACTATTTAGAATCGAGACGGTGCCAATTCAAATTTTTCGTTTTTTATCAACTGAGAAGAATATAACTTTGCAAAAATTTACACAAACTTCTCCAAATGTATCGTCTGCTATGAAATATGTTGGTTATCCAGCATTAGGGTATGTGAATATTATTTATGAAATGGTATTTAGTGGACATTATGTGAACGTGAAGATAGAACAAGTTTATAGGAGAACTGAGGAGAATGTGATTCTTTTACCAGGGAGTGAATTTGACGTCGAAGGTACAGAGTGGTTGCAGATTGGTGGATTGGGCAATGTTTTCAAATTCAAACTAAAGTTTAGGCATTTTGTTAATGAGAAAATTGTGTGGTACAGAAAAATAATGAATGCAATTGAGAAAATTAGTTTGTAAGAAGAGGAAATAATAAAAAGAAGTGAACAAAATTGCTTAGTGGTTATAATTTTTATATCTCTAAAATCAAATAATTTATTGGTTAAAATTTCAAAAGTTCCACTCTCAGTACTGAACATTGCACTGAAGACATAATTTATTTAAATAAAATAGATTACTGGACTATTATCAATTAAATATTTACTAGAATCAAATAATTTTTATTTGAGTCAATTAAGCAGTATTTGCGTCAAACATTGGAATTATTTATTCAAATATACCATAATTGATTTAAATAAAAATCATTTCATTCAAGTAACTAATTAATTGATAGTACCTAAAAATAATAAGAGCAATTTTAGGGAACTTTGATTAGAAAAAATATAAATTTCGTGAAATAATTTATTTAACTTTATATTATTAAAATATGATTACTGAGCTCAATGAACTCTATAAATCTAAATAATAAGTGGAAGCAAAAAGTACTAATTGCATATGAAAAATAATAATTCATGAATAATAATAAATTTAAATAAACTTTAAACTTTATTGCAGGGTTACCATAGGTCAGGAAAATCAGGGAATTTTATTAAAAAAACTAAAAAAAATTAAATTTCTAGAATTCATAAGAAAATTCGGAACTTTTGTATTTTTTATAATTTGCCTTAAAAACTTTGAAATTACCATGAATTTCAATACAAAGCCTATACAATTTTTTACATTTCTGACAATAATTTATTTTGAAAAATTTAATTCTTAAAAATTTAAATTTTGAATGAATTTAATTAGAAATTTTAAAGAACTTAAGTTTTAAAAAAATTTTTAATAATACCTTCAAATTCTTTTGAAATTAGTTCATTTTTTTAATATCTATATATTTAATTAATTATTAAAAATAAGGATTTATAGAAGAATTTTAGATAAAAACTCTAAAAAAATAATAAATTTTTGGAGAAATTACAAATAATTCCAATTTCTAGAAATAATTGATATTTGAAAAAGTTTAAAATTAAAATGTTTGAAAATCTAAATCTTTTTTACATTTAATTAACAAATTCTGCAGAACAAATTTTTGTGAAAAATTTTAATTCCAATTCTGTTGAAATTAATTAAAATTTTTAAATAATATTTAATTATTACAAAAAGTTTTATCGCAATTCGTCGAGAGAATTCAATTATCTTGATAAATAACAAAATTCTTCCTAGAAATTTAATTATTTTCATAAATTTTAATAAAATTCTTTGCAAAATTCAATCATTTTCATCAATAACAATATTCATCAAAGAAAGTTAATTATTTTCAAAAGCACTAAAATTCGTCGCAAAAATTCAAGTACTTTCAAAAATTTCAAGAAAATTCTTGGCAAAATTTCAATTATTTTCAAAAAATTTTCTCATTTAAATGATTTTCAATATCCACTATTTTCATAAAAATTATCAAATGTATTTTATTAATTAAAAATAATTTTGATAAAATTCTACCCAAACATTTAGTTACTCTTGTACATAAGTAATAAAAATTTCACAGGAATTCAATTATTTAAAATAGAATTTGTATAATATTTTTCGAAAAAAGTCAATTATTAAAAAAATTGTTATAACATTCTTTTCAAGACTTTAATGATTTTCACAAATAATACAATTTTTCACTAGAATTCAGTTATTTATAAAATTTTAATCAAATTTTTCGCAAGAATTCAATTATTTTCAAAAATAATAAAGTTCTTTTCAGGGATTCAATTATTTTTATAAATAATTTTAAATGAATTTCTCGAAAAATGCAATTTATTTTTAAAAATTTTATTAAAATTTTAAGCAAGAAACATTCAATAATAAATAATTTATTTTGTATTCAAATTACTGAATTCTCGTACAATTTTGTAATAAATATTTTTTTAAAATGAATTTCAGTTTTGAATAAACAATGTAATACTAAGAAAAAAAAATCATTAATAATGATAATCATAAAATTCACTTCCTACTATTAACAAAATTCTTCTTGATAAATTTCAATGTGGATATAGAAGATAAATAAATAGACGTTAAAATTAATTCAGAGAAAATAAAAGGATTCAGAAAATATATTCGACAAATTCTCTAATCAATATTTGTCAATAAATATTTGAATTACAAATATATAAATAAATTTTGAAAATTACTTTAACAAATTTGCTATAATACTACTTTTTGCTCTAAATTAATATATAGATTTATCTTAGTTTTACATTCTGTGACAGAATCCGATTATCAGACTTACACAACAAGTCTGTAAGGGCACGCTTAATACAAGTCGAAACTTCCATGTCTCTATAGGATTAAGTTCCTACAGAAGCTCTGCCAGAGGAAGGAAATGAAGCCTTCTAGATCACCGATGAATCAAACCAATGTGAGCCAAGTTTCTCCTCAGTAATGGTTTCTTGGGACGCAATGAACTTCTTTTCTATTCAAACACTTCTGTCTCACGTTAATTTCTGTCTCACCTCAAGTTGCAAATAATTTCCCATTTACTGTGTTATGTTCCAAAATTTTCATTTTTAAACTACATTTTCTAGTCATTTGATTTTTAATTTTTTCATATCTTTTTAATTTTTAACATATTTAATTAAATTTAATACAATAATCAATTATTTTTTGAAATTTTTAATTTCAATTTATTTTTTCTAATCTAGAACGTATATTTTTTAATCTATTCCTTCATTTTATTACGTCTAATCGAATAGCAATTTTTTCATATATGCAGTCAACCCTCGATAATTAAAATTTTTTTTTTGTGACCCTTTATATCGAGAGTCGACTGTAATTACATTATTTGTTTATGAAATTGATTACTTAAATAATAAATTTGATTTTTTAACAAATATGTTTCCAATAATTATAACACCGTTCAACAAAATTTAACTTTTCTTTTCACACACAAAAAAATCAAACATTTTTGGAAACTAGGACCAAAAAAAAATACCCGTGTCTGGCCGTTTTGTTAGATCAAGTCGTTTGTGGCTTCTAGGGGTAAAAACAACCCCTAAATAAAAAGTGACAAGTTATATTTTAAAAATAGATTCAATTTGCCTAAAACACGTTACTCGGGGGTTTTTGGGGTCGCTAATTACAAATCTGATATCATTTTTTCAAAATTCAAAATGGCGGATCCAATATGGCGGACAACTTTTTAAAAAAAATGATTTAATTTGCCTGAAACTTGTTGCTTGGGGGTTTTTGAGGTCGCTGATTACGAATCTCATGTCAGTTTTTCAAAATTCAAAATGGCGGATCCAATATGACTGACAACTTTTTAAAAAACAGATTCGATTTCCCTGAAACTCGTTACTCAGGAGGTTTTTGGGGTCGTTGATTACGTATCTTAAGTCAGATATTAAAAATTCAAAATTGCAAAAAACAAAAAAAAAATCACACAATTAAATTTTTTAGTTTCTTTCTAGATCTGTAATCTACATTGTTGATACGTATGAGAAACATCTCATATCACGATCGTTAAATTAATAATAATCGTTCAGGTAAATAAATGATTGATACTGAGTTTGAAGTTATACATATATTTAAGACAAAAGTTAAAGTTCATATTACAATCTTGTGGTTAGTCGCGAGTACATGTTTCGATTCCGAAAGTTGCTGTTATTCTGTCTATTTGCAAAAATGGAAGGTATTTCAAAGTGAGAAAAATGAATTTTTTAAGTGGGAGAAATTTGGAAACGCCCAAAAAATACGCCCTCAAGATGTGGGGTTAAAAGTGGAGGAAACACTTAAGGTGCGAGAAATTACATCTCTAATGACTCTAGTACCTCCATAAACCGTAGGACCTCGATAATCTGTCCCCCAATAAATGTAACAATAGTTCATTTTGGTTAGGTTTCATATTCAAAAGCACGACGTGACAATTTTAGAGTTTTGCTTCTTAAGTTATAAGTGTTTATGTTTTTCCCTGTTTTATTACGGTAAAACCCACGAAGAAATTTGTAGAATTCAAAGATCTTAAGGTACAGACAAACTAAAAACTGTATTTCTTTCCAATTTTATGAATTTAGTTCTCGAAAGAAATTTTGCTTGTATATTTTAAACTTTACATTATTATTAATTTAAGATATTCACTATTCACTTAACATACCGCCCACCTTGAACTAATCTAGTTCAAAAAGGATTAATTAGAGTTGATAGAATTCACTTAAATGTCCTTTAATTGATAGGGAGAGGAACTATGCGTTTTACAGATCGCTTATAAGTTCCAGTAGTGGTTCGTACAGTAACAACTCTAACAATTGAGTCATCACCAGGGTGGATTTCAATAATTCTACCCAGGTGCCAGCGTAAGGGTGGAATGTTGTCTTCTTTGAGGATGACCATGGTACCAATTTCTGGATTCTCTTCTTTGGATTGTTGCCATTTGCAACGGACATTCAGTTGATTAAGGTACTCCTTGTACCACCTTTTCCAAAAACACTGCTTCAGCCGTTGAATATTTTGCCAGTTTGACAGACGATTTTCTGGTATATCAGACAGATCGTGTTCTGGTACACTCATTAGTGAATCACCAATTAGGAAGTGAGATGGAGATAATGATCTCAGATCATTAGGATCAGATGATAAAGGAGTAATTGGTCGGGAGTTAAGAATTGCTTCGATCTCGGCAGTAAATGTACTCAATTCTTCAAAAGAAAACAATCTTTCGCCAATAGTTCTGATAAAAAGATACTTAAAAGATTTTACTGCAGCCTCCCACAAACCACCAAAATGCGGAGAATTTGGAGGTGAAAACTTCCAATTAATGCCCTGATTCTCGAGAAATGTTAACACTTGTTCATTGTGATTTTCTGAGTTTAAAAGTTCGCGCAATGTTTTTGTTAATTCATTATTTGCGCCAACAAAATTAGTTCCGTTGTCGGAAAAAATAGTAGAGCTTTTTCCCCTACGAGCGAAGAATCTTTTTAAACAACCGATAAAAGTTTCGGTAGTTAAATCACTAACCAATTCAATATGACAAGCCTTTGTAGCAAAACATACGAATATTGAAATATAGGCCTTGACTTTGCCTCTATTTCTGTGCTTTTTTTCTTTAATAAAAAATGGACCACAATAATCGACACCAGTAACTATAAAAGGTCGCGATTGAGTAATTCGTTCTTTGGGTAAATTGCCCATTAAATAATTTTGATTCGTAGGTTTTGCACGTAAGCAAATTATGCATTTTTTAATAACACTTTTAACAGTACTCATACCATTAATTGGCCAATAATTAGATCTGACTGCATTCAATGTTGCTTGAGAACCACTGTGATAATTTATTTCATGTTCAAATCTAATTATTAAAATTGTAATGTGGTGTGATTTTGGTAAAATAATTGGATATCGCTCGTTGTAAGATAATGTTGAATTTTTTAATCGTCCTCCCACGCGTAATAACCCATCTTTGTCTAAGAAAGGATTCAAAGAAGTTAAACTGCTTGAACGATGCAAACTCTCATCGTTTGTCAATGACTTTATTTCGCGTAGAAAAAATTGTTTTTGCAATAAACTAAGAATTTTTTTCATTGCAAGTTGCGTTTCTTCAATTGACAGATGTGTCATGTTTACCTTTGTTTCAGAATTTTTTAATTCAACCTTTTCTTTTCTCGATTTTACTTTATTCTTTAAATTGTTAAAGAATTTCATGCAATATGCAATAACTCGCTTAGTTTTTCTGAGAGAAGAAAATTTGTTCAAAATGCAATTTGTATCATTTGTTTTAATTTCATTATTCGCAATTAATGAAACATTACTCTTTAATTCTAAGTTTGGTACTTTATTGAATGGACTACAAGGCCAATGCTCCTCAGAAGAACCAAGCCAGCTTGGACCGGTAATCCACATTGCATTTTGTATGAATTCACTAGGCATTTGACCTCTTGAAATAAAATCTGCAGGATTTTGCTCTGTTGGAACATGTTTCCAATCTAAAGGATCTGTAAATTCGCGAATTTGAGAAACACGATTTGCAACAAACGTTTTTAAGAGATACGGTTCTGTATTAATCCATTGTAAGGTGATTGTTGAATCTGACCACAAATGCACTGCATCGATTTTAAGGCACAAAATTGATTTTACAAAGTTTAAAAGATTTGCTAGAAGAAAAGCCGAGCACAATTCCAATCTTGGTATTGTAATTGACTTTAAAGGAGCTACACGTGTTTTTGAGCACAATAAATTTACATAAATTTCGTTTTTTGCATTTTGTGAACGAACGTATATGCAAGCACCATAAGCTGCTTCACTTGCATCACAAAACCCATGCAGTTGTACATTTGTAGCATCATCAACAACAACAAGTCGCTGAAAAGTAACATCATTCAAGCAATTCAAATCTTGTCTATAGTTTTGCCAATCAGTATGAATTTCGGGCGGAACTGACTCGTCCCAATCACACTTGAGTTGCCATAACCGTTGCATGAAAATTTTCGCTTTTATTATTATAGGGCCTAATAATCCAATTAGATCATATAATAATTGTGCGATTTGAGAAAGCATAGAACGTTTTGTGATTCTTGTATAATTTAAAATGTTGCTAATTGTGTATGTTAACTGATCGGTTCTTGGATTCCATTGAATGCCCAGAGTTTTGATTGATAATGATGGATCAGAAAACAATTTAATGTTTATTAAATCATCTGGTAATGAAGATATCAATTCTAAATCATTTGAACACCACTTGCGTAACTTGAAACCACCAAGTTTTAACAATTCAATTAATTCATCGCGTAAAGCAATCGCTTCATTTTGATTTTTTGCACCTGTAAATAAATCGTCAACGAAAAAATCTCTCTTAATAATTTCTGACGCGTCTGGAAAATTTTCTTTCTCATTTTCAGCTAGCTCTTGGAGGACACGGGTTGCTAGATATGGTGCCGAAGCGGTACCATAAGTGACCGTTGTTAATTCGTATATAGCTAACTCTTTGCTTGGATCATCGCGCCAAATTATTCGGTGAAATTTTCTATCATCTTCATCAATATTTATCATGCGATACATTTTCTCAATATCAGCTGATAAAAGTATTGTATGAGTTCTTGATCGAATTAAAATGGCAATAAGTGGTTGCTGGACAGTGGGACCGACCTTTAACGCATCGTTAAGCGATAATCCGTTCTTTGTCTTCGAGGAACCATTGTAAACGACCCTACAACAGGTAGTCGAACTATCTGCTCTTAAAACTGCATGATGAGGTAAGAAGTAACCATCATCAGGTATTTTGTCAACAGTAACCCTTTTCATGTGACCTAATTCTTCATATTCGCGCATAAATTTGCAATATTCGTTTTTTAACTCTTTATTTGATTCGAATTTTCTTTCTAAAGCAAGAAATTGACGTTCCGCGATTGTATAAGAACTTCCGAGTTTGTTAATTTTCTCATTTACCGGTAATTTTACTGTATATTTTCCGTCGCGATCACGTTTTGTATTTTCTTTAAAATGCTTTTCGACTTCTGATTCTTCCGGTGAGAGGAATTTTTTTGGTGGAAATTCGTCTAATTCCCATAACAATTTAATTTGATTACCGATATTTTCTAAACTCAAGTGACAGTGTGTTCGTTTATTTTGAACAGCTTGACCGATTTTACCTGCTAAAACCCATCCTAATTTTGTTTTCTGTAAAACTGCGCTTTGCTTAGATAATTTGATTTGACCGACAGAAATTAAATCATAAAATATTTCTGCTCCTAATAATGCATCAACTTCTTTTGGAATGTGAAATTCTGGATCGGCTAACTTTATGTTCTTCTGTATTTCAATTTGATTTCTGTTAATGTATTCAAGTGGCAATGAATTACAAATTCTGGGAATGACCAAAAATTCTAATTTTGCAGCAAATTCTGTTTGCATAGACTTTACTTGAGTTGAAACAGATTGTTTAATTTTCGTTTCTAATTGATTCAATCCTTCTACGGGTATGTTAATTTCACGGCGATCTAAGTTTAAAATTTCCGCAAATTTTTCCGTAATAAAATTACTTTGTGAACCTGAATCTAAAACGACACGTGCTTTGAATTGTTTATTGTTTTTGTCATGAAGATATACAACCGCAGTTGATAACAATACCTGAGACTGCACACGAACTTGCAAATTTTGAGTAGGCGAATTATTTGTCTCACATTGAGGTTGAACACAAATTTGCAAATTTTGAGAAGGTGTATCTGATTTTGGATTTTCTTCTGTATGTAAAAGTGTGTTGTGTTTTCTATTACATTTTTTGCAATGAGAAAGTTTACACTCAGAACTACGGTGACCTTTGCGCAAACAATTAAAACATAACCCTGCTGATTGTACAGCATTACGCCTTTCAGATATAGACATTGCTTGAAATTTTTCACATCCAAACGATTTATGTTCACCTTTGCAAAAATGACAAAAATCCTTTGAATGAGTAACTGATAAGCTTTGTTTTTTTGAATTGTTATTTGATTGAGACGAGTTTGGTTGGGTTTTGTTGACTGTATCAAAAGTTGAAGCTTCAAGAATTTGATACCGATTTCGAAGGAATTGTAAAAGGGTTTCTAATTTTGGCATTGTCTTTCCCGTTAGACTTTTTTCCCATTCCCTATGTGTATTCCGATCTAATTTGGAGGTCAAAACGTAAATTAAAATTGAATCCCAATGTGCAACCGATTCATTTAATGCTGAGAGCGCGCGAAGATGCATTTGAAAATTGTCTATCAGCTGTCTAATATTAACAGCAGATTCTTTGTTAAAACTCGGTAATTCCATTAGTGTTTTTATATGATTTTGAATTATTATGCGATGATTATCGTATCTGTCATTCAATAGATTCCAAGCAACATTGTAGTTTGCAGATGAAGTTTCCAAGGAACTTATAACCTTAGCTGCTTCATCTTTCAAACATGATCTCAAATACTGTAATTTTTGAACATCTGCTAATTTTCCATTGTCATGAATTAAAGCTTTGAAAGAGTCATAAAAATTCAACCAATCTTGATAAGCACCATTGAAAGATGGCAAATCCAATTTTGGCAATCGAATGGAAGTTTGACCTTGAACATGCATTTGATTTTGACCATTTTGTGTAATAGGCTGTGTGTATGTTGTTGTAGGTGTAAGTGTGAGTTCATAGTTAATTAACATTTCTCGAGCCTTGCTTATAGCAGGATAAAATATATTTTCAAAATCTGTTAATTCTGTTCCCGGCTCAGTTTCGTCAATTAAAATGTCAATTTTATTTTGAAGTGCTTCGAATTCGTCGACTGCATTTTCTACTTTCTGCAATCGTGTTTTAATTTCACTAAATTTGTTCTGATTTGCTGGACTGTTTATGTATGTGACAAATCGCGTGAATTTACTTTTAAGATTCGTTCGCGTTCGCTTTAATTCGTTGAGTTCAATTTCAACTTGTACGGCGTGATTGTTTTCTTCATCCATCATGAATATTGATTTACCTTGTAAAATTAAAGCAAAAAAAGGAACTTTTATAGGATTGGTGATTTAAATTTGAGCCTACCTTTACACACTCTTACTGATTGATGAAATGGAGTTGACTTCCTGGAGTTGATTTCTTGGAGTTGACTTCTTGGAGTTGATTCCTTGAAGTTGACTTCTTGGGTTTGATTCCTCGGAGTTGACTTATTGGAGTTGACTCCTTGGCGTTGACTTCTTGGAGTTAACTTCTTGGAGTTGATTGAGACTGGATCCTTGATTAAATTGCCCTTTGGATTGATTCTTCTTGTATGATACCAAGCCTCCGTTGATGAGTTCAATTTGAATCACTAACTCACTAGTATCAAATTGTAACAATTGTTTATTGTAGATTCACTGCACAAATTTTCTATGTTTTAAATTTGTTCACAAAATTTTTATCATTTGCTTAATGATTCACAATCGGAATTTCATGTTTTACACTCGCGTTTTCAATCTTTATGAATTTTAAGAATGAACTTCACTGTTTTATCTTAACAACTTCACAATATTGTTTATTAACACTTCACCAGTATCCGGCTCGAAGGACCAAAAAATGTTGATACGTATGAGAAACATCTCATATCACGATCGTTAAATTAATAATAATCGTTCAGGTAAATAAATGATTGATACTGAGTTTGAAGTTATACATATATTTAAGACAAAAGTTAAAGTTCATATTACAATCTTGTGGTTAGTCGCGAGTACATGTTTCGATTCCGAAAGTTGCTGTTATTCTGTCTATTTGCAAAAATGGAAGGTATTTCAAAGTGAGAAAAATGAATTTTTTAAGTGGGAGAAATTTGGAAACGCCCAAAAAATACGCCCTCAAGATGTGGGGTTAAAAGTGGAGGAAACACTTAAGGTGCGAGAAATTACATCTCTAATGACTCTAGTACCTCCATAAACCGTAGGACCTCGATAATCTGTCCCCCAATAAATGTAACAATAGTTCATTTTGGTTAGGTTTCATATTCAAAAGCACGACGTGACAATTTTAGAGTTTTGCTTCTTAAGTTATAAGTGTTTATGTTTTTCCCTGTTTTATTACGGTAAAACCCACGAAGAAATTTGTAGAATTCAAAGATCTTAAGGTACAGACAAACTAAAAACTGTATTTCTTTCCAATTTTATGAATTTAGTTCTCGAAAGAAATTTTGCTTGTATATTTTAAACTTTACATTATTATTAATTTAAGATATTCACTATTCACTTAACATACATTTTAATCCTACATTTTGAATTTTGAAAATCTTACTTAAGATTCGTAATCAGCGATCTCAAAAACCTCCCGAGTAACAAGTTTCAGGCAAATTAAATAATTGTTAAAAAAGGTTGTCCGACATATTGGATCCGCCATTTTGAATTTTGAAAAAATGACATCAGATTTTTAATCAGCGACCCCAAAAACCTCCGAGTAACAAGTTTCAAGCGAATCCGATCAATTTTTTATTTTGACAGCCGCCATATTGGATCCGCCATTTTAAATTTTGAAAAACTGACATCGGATTCGTGATCAGCGACCCCAAAAACCTCCGAGTAACGTGTTTTAGGCAAATTGAATCTATTTTTAAAATATAACTTGTCACTTTTCATTTAGGGGTTGTTTTTACCCCTAGAAGCCACAAACGACTTGATCTAGCAAAACGTCCAGACACGGGTATTTTTTTTGGTCCTAGTTTCCGAAAATGTTTGATTTTTTTGTGTGTGAAAAGAAAAGTTAAATTTTGTTGGACGGTGATAATTAACATACTTTTATGTACTTCATCAACAATCAAATGTTGATAAGAAATTAGTTACTACAAATTCGTCAGGATTTTCTAAAGCCCCCATCCCAAGGGACCGTTACATTACGCCACATAGGAACGTTACGTTACGTCAAAATATAGATCAAATTCGACCAATTTTTGGATCTACAAGTTAAAAAAAAGGCCCCGTAACGGTCCTTAAGGGGCCATTATATCACGTCTTCCTTGAAGGACGTTAAGTTACGACAATATTTTGGTCAACAAAGTTGTTATAAACTGAGTTTTATTTTTACAAAATTAACAAAATTTATAGACATTTTTTAATTTTTTTAAATAACTTGAAAAGAAATTTTCCACTTTTAAACAGGTCGTAGTCCTGTTTTAAACACGATAAAGAAAAGCTAATTTCCTCACAAAAAACAATATTCAAAGATAATCAAAGTCAATACAATATCAGAAATTCAACACTAATTTATTAGATTTTTCCCCCTCAAGCTGAAGGTTATCACATCTGTTTACCTTTAAAAAGTCTTGAGGAGTGTGATTTGAATATGTGCGCGAGGGTTGAAAGAACTAAAGGAAAAAAAAAACAATTCCTCAAAAAAGTTGAAAATTATTCACAAAAATTATTCCTCGTAATTAAAATGCAGATAAGAGGGTACAAATCATTGGGAATTTTTTTTTGGTTAGGACAAAGGGGGCGGGATTGTTAGCAAATGTCCCCTCCTCACCCTTTAATCTTTTTTTTTCTCTTTTACTGGTTTCAACGTTGGAAAATCCCAGTCTCGCCGATGTGGAGTTAAGTTGAGCCCACCCGTGGGATTGGAATAGGTCTCTCTCTCTCTCTTTCTCTCTCTGTGTATGTGTGTGTCTGCGTATTTCTTAGTGTATGCGAGCGAATGAAATATACTCTGAATAAGGAATGAGAAGAATATTTAAGCATCGACTCGCGTTCCAACGTTAAAAATACAAGATCTTCCTTGTTCCTCGTTTCTTGAATGCAATGTTACGATTACGGAATACTTTAAATTTCTTTTGCGCTCACAGAATATCGTCTCTTCTCTTGAAATAACTTCCCGTCTCAAGACTCGTTGGACATTTCTTGCGCGCAATCTTTCAGCATAGGTCCTCCTCGAATGTCATGTATTTTTAAATACACTTTTGTATAAAATATTCCCTCCTCACAGTAGTGTATTCACTTTTTGCAATTCATTCTTTTTCATTCTCTTTTTTTTTTAAATTCTTCCTTTGCATTGCAAGTTTTCCTGTTCTTCAAATCAAAATGATGGAATTCACATTTCATTATCATATCCATTTTTTTTTCTTTCTTCATGCTTGCATAATCTTGAAAAATTCTTCAATCACTTAATACCGAATTAGTTAAATTTTCAGTAAAAAAAAAAAAAGAGATTCCTTATCAGATGTTTAAAATTTAAATTTCAGATCACTTTATTCTTAAAGTCCTCTCCCTCTTATATGTACAGAAGTTGGATTCGTCTCTTGGAACGAAGCAATCGATAAATTTAGTTGTAAGTCCGGGGGGGGGGGGAAGAGATCCTTCGATTTGGAGAGAATGAACCGATTTTCTTGAATTGAGATTGGACGTAACTGGATAATTGGATCACAATGAAGGTGGTTGGGTAGTGTAGTGTGTTTCAATGGTAATTCTCTCAATGAAGCCAGAAGCCACGTATAAGGATACAAAACGATCGATAATCACATTGAAGATCGAACGTTTGAGAATTTAGGTGCGCACATACATATATATATATAGATAGATAGATAGTATTGAGTTCCAGGGACAACGAAATATAACCGGTGTGCGCTACCGATCGGGCGAATTGATAGTTAATTACCGAGGAATCAGGGGCGGCCAGGATAATGGATGGGATACGGCCCGTCACCGTAATTCACGGTGAACGGATTTTCGTGTTCCCTTATATATCCCCAAGTATCGATCTATATATATATAAACGAAAACCAGAAACGGAGAAACGCCACAAGAAAGAAAAATCAAGTACGGAAGGATGCATTTTATTCAATGAAAAAGGAGAAAAAAAATAATGAAATACCGGAAGTACAATAATTTAACTGTCAATTTCTAAACTGAGAAAATTTAATTCACAAAAAATTCTTTTCTTTATTTCACTCAGATTCTTTTACAGATCTCGGACTAAATTCAAAAATAGAAAATAAAATTTTCATAAAATGTTCAATTATTATAAATGTCTCTTAAAATGTGTGTAATGGTTACAAATAGTCATTTATTCATTTATAAAAATGTCATTGAGGGATAAAATGGTGGTTTAATTCTCCACTTGAGAACGCCAAGGTCATCACTAGGTGGCGTCTGATTTTTTCAACTGAACTGCCATCTAGCGTTGACCTTGGCGTTCGCAGGTGGAGAATAGTAATCTCCATATTGAATCTCAAAGTGAATTTCTTTAATTGCAAAATTATTCAAAAACACCAATAACTTCTTTTGCAAATAAATATTTAATGATTATTATTTTTCCATAGGAATTAAGATTTTCAAAAATTTTAAATTCAAAACTTTTTTAAAATTAAACAACTAAAAATATTGTTATAAAAAATGAAGCAATCGATCACTCCGAGTCGAAGACTTTCATATTATTATCTAAAATTTTAACTAAAATTCATTTTTAAATCAATTTTTATTAAAAAATTCTACGATAATTCATTTAAATACAAAAGTAAATTATTTATTGAATAATTGAATGTTTCTTAAAATTTAATTCTTACAAAAATGTTTATTACCAAATTTTTAAATAATTGAATTCTTTTGATAAATTATAATCAAATTTTTAAGAATAATTACAATTTTTGGAGAAATTCGATTAAAATTGTATTAAAAATAATTGAAATTCCGCGATAAGTTTTATTACTTATAAAAATAATTGAATTATTGAGAAGAAACTTATAAAAAATTTGTAAATCATTGAATTCCTAAGAAATATTTTTATTTTATTATTTATGAAAATAATTAAATGTTTCCGTACAATTTTATAAAAAATTTATTTTAAATAATTGATTTCTTTTGAGTAGTTTTATTAAAATAGTAGAGATATTGAAAATTGTTGAAATAAGGAAAATTTTTGAAAATAATTGAATTTTAAAGAAGAATTTTATTATTTATAAAAATAATTGAAATTTTGACAAGATTTTTTTTTTTCTTTTGAACATACCTAATTGAATTTTGTGATAAGAATTTAATTACTCTTGAAAGTAACAGAATTTCTGCAATCATTTGTAACTTCTTCAAAATACAATTTTTTTTAGTGTTTTTAACTAAAATTCTTTTATAAATCCATTATTTTTAATAATTAATTAATTGAATACATATTAAAAATTTAACTAATTTCAGAAGAATTTAAATTTTTCAAAAATCTAAGCTCTTTAAAATTTCTAATTAAATTCATTCAACATTGAAATTTTATAAAATTTGAAATTGAAACCATTTGAAGTTGATCTATTTATGAAAAGTGTAAACGCAACTCTTTTAAAATTGAATTAATTTTGAAATATTTGAGTAAAATTATTCATTTAATAATTTATAAGTCATTATTTTATGATAGTTGATCAAGATTTAAAGTATTTAAAAAAAATTGTCAGCGATTGAAAAAATTGAAGGTTTTGTATTATAATTTATGGTAATTTCATAGTTTATGAGGCAAACAAAAAATACACAAAAATTCAGAGTTTTCTTATGAATTTCAAAAATTTAATTTTTTCAGTAGTTGTAATAAAAACCCTGAATTTTCCCTGAATTCCCTGTGTCAGAATATATGATTATTATAGTTATAATAATATTAAAACTATATTCCAATTCATATTTTATTTTTAAGAAAATAAATTTAAATTAAAAATTGGTACACTGTATTATTTTTAAAATTGCTAATTTTATTAAAAATTTTATTTAAAAAATGGAGTAAAAAGTTAGCTGCGAGCGAATTGTTGCTAGATCTATAATTATTTATAATCAGACATTGAATCTAGAGAGTTCAACAACTAATATAAATGAAATTTAATTTTTAATTTGCGATATTTTTACCGTCTCCAATTTTTTAGAATCTTGGGATTAATTTTTTCCAGTAAATAAATTGATTTTCACAAGTTTGGTTTAAGAAATAGTACCATTAGTGATTTTTTTTTTTACAGAAATAAGTTTCATTAGTAAAACCTAAAAAA